GGGGGGGTGGGAAGGAAAAGACCCTTTGAAAGTGGTTGGGAGTCTTAGTTCATAATCTTCAAATGAGTTAGTATGACGCACTGCCATATCACAAATTAGCACAGCGTGACATGGGATGGGTGTGATATGACATTTTGTGACATGAGGTAACATAACATGACATGACACTTATTAACATGACTTGTCACAAGAGACAGGACATTTTGACCTGTGATGTGACATCAATACACAACATGTCACGACACTGATGTGACATGACCACATTGATATCATATTTGACATCACACCACACTAAAAGTCATCAGATTTGTAACATGACATGACGACATAAAATGATTTAAAAAATAGCATGTTTGAACTGTCTTGACATGAGTGAGTGCCATTGATAAGAGATTAAAGAGTTTTAAAATAAGCAGGGTTGAAATCAAAAACTGGTAGCTGGCTGTCAGACCATATTCTACCAACCACTTTGGGAATTGTGATCAACAACAGAAAATAAGTATTTTTTAACTGAGTCTATCATCAATTTACTGCAAAAAAGAGTCACTCAAATGTTTCCCACAATGCTATAGATCATGTCTCTGAAAATTTCTAATTTTAAAATTTTTTCCAAGGGAGCACAAAACATGCCATACAAGCAAAATTCAATTCCACCACCTACTAAGATCATAAATCTATTTCAATTTCTATTGATAACTCCATGAAAAACCAAAATGCAATCAGAATAAATCATTTTACATCAACTCACCTCTTCATCATGTCCAAAAGCTAAGAAAAAGCTGCGCTGTGGTTGGTGGCCTTGTTTGAGAAGAAATTTGAGAGCCTCCAGGGAGCCCTACATAGGATGAAAAACACCAATGATTTACATTAAATTGCTTAGTCGGAATTAGCACCTAACTTAGTCTGAGGTTTGTAAAACTGTACTAAAATTTTATTCAAACAGAGCAAATCAGCCAAACTCTGCAGGAAATAGAAAGTATAAAAGAGCTTATAATGTGAATTAAAATAAAAAACCAGTAATGATAATGATAACCATAACCATAACGAAAGAAAGCGGGTCAAAAATAATTAGTTTCACACAGTTACTGTGCAAACAACTAAAATGTGACCTCTTCACTGACCCTCACAAGAAGGATAACTAACATTTCAAAATTATCCCCTTGCTGACAATGATAATGATGACATTTGTCTTTCTCTGAAAAAAGATGCCAATGACTTCCTGTACAACTGGGAGTTATGAGTGTGAAGATGGCTGAAAGTCAAATCCTTGCTCAAAACAGTTGCAATGCAGACACAGGATTGCTCAAAGTGGGCAATTCTGTGTCTGCATTGAACAATAAAAATGAAGCCAACTGCTGGAAATCAATGTAGATATCATTGATTGCATTTCCTGTTTTTTATGAGATTTTATAAGATATTTTTGATAACCCTTAAACAAAGAACTCCTTTATAAAACGAAAGCACTTCCAAAGTACCATGACTCCATTTTTGTGATCCAAAGTTCCTCTTCCCCAGAAGTACCCATCTTGAACACGCCCTTCAAAGGGGGGTACTTCCCATGATTCATTGGTGGCAGGTACTACATCAAAGTGACCAGCAATCAGATAGGGCTTTAGCAATGTGTTACTTCCTTTTACGGAAACAAGCAAACTGTAATTTCCAATAATTTTGTGTTCAACAAGGGAATGGCTAAACACATCTGAAAACTCTGCAAGAAATAGATAAGTCAAATAATTCCTTGCCATCCAATTTGTGTTGTACTTATCTTCTCATAAATTTTCTGAGCTACCATAGGTCAGCATAGTATCCACTAAATTCAAGTATCAAACTAATACATCTATTTTTTTTTTTTCACTCTAGAAAAGTTGGGCCATTTGAATTTGACCATTGCTAAAACATTTCTATTTTGGAAAGCTTTTAGTTTGTTTCAATAGTTCTAATGTGTATTGCCTTTGAATACTTTAATTTTAATTAGTATAGAACTTGAACGCTTCTGATTATTGTTTACAGTTTTAGCACTATATAAATTCCTTATCATTATCATTATCATTATCCTTATTAAGGATGACATTAATTGTAAATTAAATAGTTTTCACATACACACTTATTAATTTCAAGTATTGTTCTATTTTGCATACCTTCCTAAATAATAGGTATGTTCTAATTCTGTATCTAAGAGGAAAACCTCCCAGCCTTTCTTTGACAAACTTGCTGAACAATACCACACACTAACTACAAATGTCAGATCATTACCCGTCTTCATTATGCACGACAGTTCTGGATTAAATTTGGAAGGTATTAGGCAGTCAGAGCAAACTTGCAGGCTGTCAGATCATTTTGCACCCCAGCTACTTTACGAAATGTGATCAAAGACAGTAAAAAAGAACTTTTTAACTGATTCTAATATAAACGTGTTGCTAAGCATAATTCTCTCAGTTCAGATCATACCCCTATTACGATTTCTATGACATCCCTGCATAATAGCTGAGGATTATAAAAACATCTTTTTGCACCATGAAATGGGACAGGAGAGAATCACTTCTGAATAACACTTAAATTCAATTCCGCTGTTACGTACCAGCTGTTTTCGAATTTACAGTTCAAAACTAATGAAAACTAAGACCAATTAATACGCTGCAGTATATATGACTGTATCCTTGAAATCAGCTAAAATTTGAAAGGTCTGCCTTAATAGAGTAAGAAAAAAAGCAGGAAATCATCATAAATCTTGCCTTTGCAATCCTCACCTTTCAGAATAAACTGAAGGAAATTGTGTAACTCTTCTCGATTGTAATTTCCAACATTCCAGGAAACCGTTTGGAAAGAAAGCGCAGTTTGAAACCTTCTCTTCACGTCCTCGTCTACATTGATATAATCTAGATCACTTGGTTTGCATGGGTAGGCAGCTGTTGGCTGATGAGAATACATCACAGTTCTTGCGATAATTATTAAAACGACTGTGAAAAAGGCTGTCAGAGAAAGGTATGAAAGTTCGCGAACACCCGCCATGTTTGAAATCCTCTTCACGTTATGAGCCAGGCGTCCCTGTTCAGTCACGCAAATTTACTAGAGCCTGGTTTCGCGAAAAAATGGAAGGGGTAGACTGGTGAAGAGACAAGCGAGGGGAACGAAACGTGAACCGCCGCGCCACCACTCTGCCATTGCTGTCCCATTTTGAAAAAGTATTTAACAATGCTGTATGATTTGATTCTCAAAAAGTCGTTGCAAAGAAAATGAAAAAGAAAAAAGTTTGTGAGCCATCGAGGATCCTAAAAAATGACATTAATTTCAAAACAGACCACAATTTTCTAAAGATCCCCACTCATTGGCAGTCAATTTTCCACAGTCCTCCCTTTATACTCTGTAAAAGACAAATGATCCCCCTCTGTTCCCCTGAAAACCAAGTGACACCCACCCCCTCCCCAAAAAAAAACCTCCCACCCCTCCCTAAAGCGATAAATAATAGCTGTCTTCTTAGGCCGGAGTTAAGAACCTTTAACTATATATGACGGCGATGGCAACGAGGTCATGGTTAATCAAAAGATCTAATTTCTTAGCCGACCACTGCAAAATACCAACATGAAATCATCAAAATTTGCATAACCTGAGAAAAGAAACCCCGACGGCAAATTATTTAAGTTTCCATTTGGAACTCATATGGGACTGCTGCTCTCTACGTTAAGCTGAGATTAAACACATCTGGATGGTAAACACGTCAAGCAATTTGCGAAATTCTTACAAAAAATACATATTCATTTTTTAATCGATGTCTCTCTTGACATTACCGTCCTAACTACTAAATGTCCTTATTAAGATTATAAGTGATTTATGACTCAAAGCAAGAAGCTTCTTTTCAATCAACAAACATGTAAAATGATCTTCATCTTGCCTGCAAATTCTTCATATATAATTTCTGTTATATAGGGTGTATCCCTCAAAGTGATATGTGCCAGGTAGGATCTCTATCTGATTGTGGTAACAACACATCTCGCGGGGAGAACGCGCAGGGCACACCGATTTTAGAACAACATCCACGTCTCGTGTGTTGGTGTTTCGATTTTCTAGTGTTACTTTGTTTTTCGCGTGATATGTTGCATAGACTGGAAAAGCAAACAATATTGATCTAAATTTGTTTGATAGCAAGAGAAGAAGACAGAACTTCGGATGAGTTCTCGTGGAAGTTAATGGAACTCATAATGTAAGAAGAGGGAGTTCCAATCTTTTACCTATAACTTTCACAAATGCTTCACAGCCAAAACTTAGAACGTACAGGCGACTTTTATTTCACATTTAAATTGTCTGTTCAGTGTTCAACAGTTATCAATAAATCTTATAACTTAAATCACCTGCAATCACTTACAAACGAAAGCACTTAAACTACTTTGTCTGAAATGTCTTTCTATAGTTTTTTTCGCTAAATATAGTATTATTTATATCTAAACATATTCAAAATTATCCATATAGTTTAGTCTACATGTTTGCATCGACCATCGAAGAACACGATAAAGAAAGAAAATAACAGAAAGAGCGACTGTCTTAGGGGATGGTTTCGCGTATCAAGTTGACTTCGAAGCCCCGGGGTCTCGTGATAAATTATTCTGAACGAGCAGGATTGGCGACGCGCCGCTGAGAATAGCTCAAACAAAAATAAGCTCCCTATTAAAGGTTAAAACATTTTAAAGGCTGTGGCAAATTAAAATGGTGCCGCATTTGCTGATTTCGAACTCTTCTGCACGCAATAATCAGCGGTAAATTGGTTAAATTCATTTACGCTGAAACAGATGGCAACCAAATTAACATCGGGTTTCTTTCAATGCAGCTAAGTTTAAAAGCGACGATGAAAATTTGAAGTAAATCGATGGCAAATCTCGATGATTTAAAAACGTTTCCTTTCTGCAATCGCCGCCGCTGTCATTTTTCATGTTGTCAAACGAGAATTTAATTTCTAAGGATGATACTTTATCAGATATGGGCTGCGAGTTTTCTTTCTCCGCTAAATCGATTGATTCGATCGTCTCGTCAATCATTTCGTTTGGAAAAAATGTCAAACCGTCTGTCGCAATTTGTGTAGTCTCTAGAATGGTATGCTCGCTGAAGGGTCGTGCGCTCGGTAGCTCTACTGTACCTAATCGTCTGATTCTGACGATTCCATGTTCTTGAGCTGAATCAAATGAAGATTCCTCACCACTCTTTGACAGTCTAGGTTGCGAAGGCGACATAATAAATCTAAACGAATCGTCAAGTTGAACTGACCCGGGTATTTTCCTCTTTGTCATTCCTAATAAGGTCTTGTCCGGGCCATGGGCAAATTCCTCGCTATGAAAAGAAATCTTCCTTGATGTTTTTTTAGGGGAACTCTCTGGACTGTTCGAAATTGTGGGCTTGAAAAGCCTCTGATTCTCCTTGAGTTCCATAGGGCTGTCTTTGTCACTTTTTGATCGGCTCAATTTTCGCCAAACAAAAGAAAAAGATTCGTTAATAGAACTGATCTTTCTTAAGTGACTTTCACTTTTATCCAGAGAGTCGTCAAATAACCCATCCTGTTTACGTTTCCATACGCTAGTAAATATTCGTTTGAACCCTCTTTTGAAATCCCTACTGAACATCCAGTAGATAACGGGGTTGAAGATACTGTTGGTGTAGGTGAACATTCTACAGATGATTCCGACTATTGGTGAGTGATCTTGGTCCTGTCCGTTCCCGAAATCTGACCAAAGCCAGAAAATCTCGTTGGGCAACCTGCAAGTGGCGAAGACTATCACAACCGTCACGAACATTTTGGTAGCTCGAATATTCTGACCAGCTTTGCCGACCAAGATGTTGTGTCTCTGACCTAGTGTCACTCGGCTGGCTTTACGCTGGAAATCGGGAGAGATCTCCATTTTGCGGTTGTTTAAGTTTCCATCTACGGCCACTCGACTAGGACGTTGTTGAACCTTCTCAAAGATACTTGCACTAGCGCGCAAGTTACATAAAGTCATGGTGTACATCACGCTCATGAACGCCAAGGGAATTCCATACTGACCAATAAAAAGCACCAACGTGTACACCTGCCTGTAGGAAAACAGCGGCCACGTTTCCTCGCAAAACTTAGTGGACTCTTCCCCAACCAAATCCAGGTAATAGATGTACGGCAGTACAAACAGCAGAGCCACTAAATGCATCATCGCTATGGAATATTTTACTTGCCTCGAGCTGAGTCTTTGTTTAAAAGGATGCATGATAACTCGATAACGATCCAGCGAGATGATGGCCAGTGTCAGAGATGCAGAAATGGTCGATAACGTCGCAAGTGGCCAAAGGGTTTTGCAAAGGACTCTTCCAAAGGGCCAGATGTAGCCTTTTTCCTCCAGTGCCAGATCAAATGGAATGCTGGCGAGAGGGGTTATTAAATCGCAAACTGCAAGGTTGAGAATGAGCAGATTTGATGGAATCCTCATTCGCTTGGTCTTGCAGATGACGATCATCACCAGAGTATTCCCAAGAAGACACAAAAGAAGAATTACAGAGTACACTGTGATTTTGAAAACCTTAAACGGTAGAGCTTCCTTGTTACTATCTTCTGTTAAATTTACGTTGGCCGCCATTTTTCAAATAACAATATTCAGTAATTTCCTTGTGGATCCAAGTCACGTACCTGTTGTAAGCTTTTCCGAATTCCAGTATTTGCTTACAGGTGAAGAAAGCTCGGAATTCTATTGTGCACGATTTGATCTGCGTGACGAGAAAGCTTTGCGTCCATAAGTGTCTCGCTGATCACGCGAGACAAACAACTTTAAACAGGAAGTGGAAGATGTGATACATGCGGAGGAGATGGCGGTTCTGCGATCAGCCTAAAGCGTGGAAGAAGAAAACACATTGATAAAAGATTGAATGCATCTTGTTTTGACAGAGATTTATTATCATTGTCGAGGGCAAGTACCACGATGATAAGATATGAGTATGACGTTTAGAGAACTGGTGATTAGCGACACGATACAAAGCATTTGATTTGCTCTTGGGAAGACTTTAGTCTCAGCTCACAGCGGGAATAACTCATTTTCAAGATAGCAACATGTTTTACATGTGACTGGGATGAAAAGGTTACAACTGAGGGCTTTTCTCGTACTTCGTGTGTAATCTAGATACTTCAGTCAAACAGTCCCGTGTCATTTACAAGTACGTACTTCATGCCCTCTCGAGTGGTGCATGCCTTCTTCAAATAAAGATTTGTATCTTGAATAGTCTATCAATTGAAATATGTTCTCCAGGTCATCTTTGTTTTTTTAATAGCTGAATCATTTAACGGGCCATGCTCAGTGACTGAATTTCATCTGTTTTCTAAATAATGCATATCAAATATAGCTAACTGAATTTTTCTTGTTTTTAAAGTTGGTAAAAAAGATTGATATGCGCTAGTTGTCTTTCGTTGATGCTTGTTATGTCTATTTCATGAGCTGTAGATATCATGTCGCCTTCAGCAGCTAAATTAACATTTAACAACTCGTTAGAAAATTGTCTTCTCAGTGATCTTAGAAATATGACTTTGCAACCATACAGCTTTGCTCGAAATAATCTTTTCAAGATTCGCTCTAAATCGCGAAAGCAAAAAGCCGGAATACTGACATGCAAATAAGATATTTTTCGTAACCTTCCATCAGCTTCAGTGTCAGTGCTAATCCGTTTGCTCTATTTTTGTTTTCGCCAGTTGAAAGAAATGATAATTTATTTTTTACGGCAATATATCAAAACAAAATTAGGCGACGTTTGGCCATAAATGGCAGGCAAACAGGCTTTTTCGGAATGAATGCTATTCTAAGATAACATTATCGGTGTGAATTGACACAAATCAAGCCCCAAACCTTAGAAAAAGGGAAAAAATAGACTGTAGAACTGTAGGAAGTATGGGGGAGATGGAAATCAGCCCACGCGCCCGAGAAACAACTAACAAGGTATCTCGCTAATACAACTATGTAAACACATCAGTTGAAAAGGTACTCTTTGGTTTTTCATTGAAATATTTTTATTTCAGGAGAAACGATTGAAAACCATAAAACAGCTGCCGTTTAAAGTGTCAAAAAAACAACAACAAAAAAAAAACGTGAACCGAGTGCTAATGAAACTTCTTGCTAATCCTTTTATGACGATTTGTTCAGTAGAGCACGACATTTACACCCTGACATCAGTGTTCATATTCTCCGTACTGTTCTCTATACATTTCCCGGGGTGCTGACAAGGAGAACTTGTGCACATTCGCCATTCTGTTTTCTACACACATGATAAATTTCTTTCCTTCACTGCTGAAAACAAAATCTACGGTTAAACTTTTTTTTGTCCAACTAACGGTTTCAATTTGTCAATTGTTAGGTCTAACGCTTTTCGCCGTTTTTAGGCCAACAGTTAACCCTACTGAAGACCCTCCGCGAGCCAAAGATAATTCCTGGATAGCCTGAAAATTTCAAGACGAGGATTTTCTAATCAAATGACGAGGGAAAAATAACCCAAATAAATAGATAAATAATGAAAAGATAGATAAATCCTAGGATAGATTAGACACATTTTCTTTATTTTAACATTCTGGCGTTCGTCACTACCATCATTTAGTCAGATTGCCCTAGTGAAATCAGGCTTTTGCTGATAAAAGCTATAACGAAAGTTCCTTAATAGCTATTTCATAATTAATGTTTAAGGTTTGATAATCAGGAAAGGGCTTCCTCCGTTGTTGTATTTATGAAAAACGGTGTTAAAAGTCACGTTCTGCCACTCCATATACCTTATCGACTAGTTGCAAGATACAATCCCTGAGCGAAAGTTATCTTTGGCTACCAGTTAGATGCCTATCCGATAAACTCGTTGAGCTCTGCCGGACAAAAATAACTGCTCTCTGAGATTTTTTCCCCAAACAGCGATAAAAGCTCCTCATTTATTTACCATTATCTTGATAATATCCGGTATGCAAAGATCTTAAATGGGCATCAGATGGAACGTGTTTAAATTTTTGGCAACACTTGAAGAAAGATTTGACCAACGAAAAAAAGAAAGGGTATAGTCATGAAAAAACGTTTCTGTGAGTATTTCCATTCAACTGATTGTTTAAGGTTTTATCATAAAGGAAATAACAACATTCTTTCCTTAATAAAAAAATCGGCAGCAAAAAAGAAAAGAAATCGCCAGAAAAAAAAAAAAAAAAAGAACTTAAGAAAAAAAAGAGGGGAAAGTATAGACCGTTTGTAAGACTCCTACCCATCCCTTCTTTTTTTTTTATCACTTGTCCACGTCTGGATGGTCGAATCTCTCTCCAGGACATCAATTCCCATGGCCGGCATCAGCGGCCAATTTCAAATATTTGTGACCAGAAACGTTAAAACCTTAAATGTTCCGAAGCTCTCGAGAGCTGCACGTTTTAGTTCCAATCACTGCTTATTTTTCAAGAACTGGATTTAACAGAAAAACGCCGACCAACCCATTTTATTTTCTTTTTTTTAATCAGTTACGGCATTTAGTTCTATTGTGCCGGCCGCTGTAATAATTAACACGCAAATCAGTTCGCATGAAGAATGCCACAAAGGAGGTTTTCTTCGTAGGTGATAAAAATATTTTAGCGATTTAAAAAAAATTGTATTACAAACAGATTGCACCTTGAAAGAGTAATTATTTAAAATATTTTTGCAGAAATTCTTTTCATAGTTCCATCATTTATTTTTCATCCAGGTTTGCAGATGCATCGGAACCGAGTGTTTCAAATTGGATCCGGGTAAAGCGTATCATTGAATTATTATCGAAAATTCACGCATTGTTACCTCATATATTTTTATTTATTCGTCTAGAGAGTAAAAACGGTTCTATTCCTGATAGAAGAGAAGGTAAGGAAAGAATAAATAAATAGAGCAAAAAATTTTTTTAACCAGGAACCTCTTTTTTTTTTCAGAATAATTTTCTCAAAAATTAAGATAGTGAAATCTAGCCCGCTTTATTACATGGTATTCACACTAAGAATTCTCGGTCATAGCTGCAAATTAGTCAATCGCTAAAAACCTTGGACAAATTTTTAGGATGAAATTTGAGTAACTCGCTGATGCGGTAGAAAATCTACTTAGACCACCCTTGCTAAATGAATTATTATTTTTTAAATAATAATAAATAACAATTTTGTACCTGCTTGGGCTACACTGGAATAGAAAGGAGATACTTCATCTGTTGCCTAGTTCCTTGTCGTTTTATTCGTAAATTAGAATCGGCGGTTGTAAGCATATCCATGGGTAAGGCATCAAGTGTTGCGGCTCTTCGCATTAAAGTTCGATTTTATTAGACAAGTTACCTTTAAGAGATACTAAAAAGATTATCGTTGTCCCGTTGTTATTATCCCAGCTAAATCACGTGATTTCTGGTGCTTTTTTACAAGAACAAAGTGTTTCCGGCAAAACCTGACTTATTTTGCGCAACAAATTTGTTCTTAACAATTTTTTTTTTCGCCCCGCTCCCAATGTATGGTTTCTTAACTCAACTGATAGTATCTGGGAGCCCGCTGAAGCCTGAATTTTTAAAGCATTTTTTGATGCAATTGCATAAAATGCAGCCCTTTGCGGGAATTATTGCTTTTACTTTATGCTCGTTCTTTCTTTCTCTTTTTAGTTCTCTTGCATCCAAGGTAGAAAAAAGCCGCTAACCGCAATCTTCTCTAGCTTTGACCGTCAAATCCATTTATCACCTTATTCTTAGGCGTTAACGCGCGAAAGGATTAAAACTCCTTTCCAAGGGTACGCTACCTAAAAAATCAACGTCGCTTTGCACGCGAGGGCTCATAGATCAGATCATGGATTTAATTCAAAATTCAAACATCGCAGTGTTTTTTTTTTTTTTTTTTTTAATTGTGGTTTGGAAGACCATTTATGTTAGTAAAATACCGGCCAAATTAACTATTTAGCTCAGAGGCCAATACGATGTCTTCTATCAAGATTATAAACGTACTTATCAACAAAACATTTCAATTAAATTTTTCCGTAGATCGCTGGTTTGATTTCGCGTAAATCCGTCTCATCTGTAGCCCTTATGTTTCTCCATTTTATTGTAACAACGCTGGTGAAAAAAGTTTGGAAGTATAACCCGTTAAATTCACCTGTAGTTCCTCTGTAGCCACGCGAAAAAATTGTAAATTATTGAGTAGTTTTTTCGCTTTCTTGGCGAAGATCTCTGATATTTTCACACGATACTCCGCATTAATTTTCTACATGTCACTCTCGCCCTCCTTGGAGTTGTACATGCACACAATTTCCGTCGCGATAACGGCAGCGGGTTATTACGTTCGAAGCCCTGAGGCCCTGTTAGGAATTTCAAGATCTTATGCGCGGATGGACTGCTGTAGATGACGATCAGTCCTCATCGAAGGAAAACACGGATTTCAAGGACATGTAACAACTTACACTCAAATTATTAGCTCTGTGTCGTGACGAATTCAGCAGTGCAATGAGAACAGACGTTACAGACGGGTAGAAGTTTGTTTATCAAGCTAATACAATTTAAAGAAGCTGGGTGAATGATTTTACCGCGGCAGCTCGCTCTCATCAAACAGGATAAAATACGTTGACATCTCCAAAGCTTATACTTCGTAGCAAAGACACAATTTTTGTCGAAAAGATGAATTCTAACACAACATTTAATGCAAAGGACACAACGCCTTTTCCGTTCTATTCCAGCCAGCTGAATGATGTCACTGATGCGTTGAATGAGAGCTATACAAACGTTTCTACAGACAACCCAGATACGGTGCAGTCACTCGACTTCTGGATCGTAAAGATTGTGCTTTACGGCGTTATTCTGCTAGGAAGCTCTATAGGGAACAGCCTTGTTATTTATATCATCGTCAGTAACGTCCGAATGAGGACAGGATCCAACTATTTGATAATGAACTTGGCGCTGTGTGATTTTGTCACGCCGGTTTTCAGCATTCCTTTTGATTACTTTCTCGAAGAATATAACTACATCTGGATGTATGGCTCAGTTATGTGCAAACTTCTGTGGCCGTTGACAACCATGTCTTCTACGTCGGCTGCTTTAACCCTTGCAGCGATCTCGCTTGATCGCTATCGCGTGATAATGCATCCATTTCGACCTCGTTTGACGAAGTTTAAAATAAAATGCATTATTGTCGCAGTTTACGTGTTTTCACTATTGGTGGTAACTCCGTACTCGTACGTTCTCGATCTGAAAGGACACCAATGCCGTGAAATATGGCCTGATATCTCGTACAAGAAGTACTACACCCTGGGACTTTTCCATGTGCAATATTTCCTCCCTCTGATTTTTATGGTGTTCATGTATTCGCTTGCGCTGAAAAACTTGTACACTAGCGCAGACAAGACTAGCGGCCAGAAAGCCGAGCAGGAACCGGCTGCTGTCAGCCGAAAAGTCAGCCGGACATCAACGAACTCACGGCGATCATCAGTAGCCGAAACTGAGCCGAAACTGAAAAAGGTTTCGTCCACGGTGCGTCTGGTGCGCAAATTCTCTTCAACTGTCAGGAGAGGGAAGACAGAAGCAAACAAAAAAGCAACTAAGATGTTTATGGCCGTCGTAGGAGTTTTTACTATTTGTATGTTCCCCAATCAAGCACTTTGGCTATGGGCGGACTTCTATAATGAGGGACAGAACCCAAGGTTCTTAAACGCGGTTATAATCTGTTGGCTATTCACGTATGCTAATAGTGTCTGTAACCCAGTTATCTACGCTGTTTTTAGCCGGGACTTTCGTAGAGGCTTCAAAAGAGCTTTTAGAAAAGTGTTCTGTTTACACCGCCGCAAAAACCGACAGGTGTATAAAACAGACATGGTGGAAACTTTGACAACAGAATTGAAATGCGTAGCTTCTGGAGAGACAGAGAAACGAAAAAGAAAAAATGCTACTGTCCAACGACCTAAGCTTTATCTTCTGTGATCGTTAAATTAATGCGCAGAAGAAAATAAGTTTCAGAAATGATGTAATATATAAAGGTTTGCAAAGTAACTATAACGTCAGGAAAGAAAAGATCGCCTTACAGAAACGAACAAAATTATCCTTTGCTTTAAAAAAAAAAAGCTTTTAGCTGCATTTTTCTTAAGAAAAAAAATGGCAAAAATATGTTTAACAAGACAAATTGCAATGAAACATTCGAAGATAAAAACTTTGGGCGTAGAGAAGATTAACTTTAGATAGACACTTGATTTGTGAACAAGGTTAAAACAGATGCTAAATTATAGTTGGCGACCAATGACGAAATTTTTGTCCTAAAAAAGAAAAAACTAGACAGATTTCTGAAGCTATCAACTCTGATAGCTTTTTTTACTGTAAAACGAAACAACTATATACGGCTCCCCTTGTGGAAGATTTTGTGGATTAACAGAAGTTTCATGGTCTAGCAAACTTTTAGCAATGGGAAGATCTTAAAATTCTTATAAAACACTTCGATAGCGTGCTGGAATAGCACTTAAAGTAGTAATTTGGAGGTCAATATCAATGGTATGTTGCACATAGAATGTCTAGTGTTACCTGGTATCAACTTGAGCAGCTTTATGTTTCCAAGTGTCACTTGAGATTTCTCCGCAGCTGGTGAAGAAAATTTGTCTCATTAGTAGAGACTGAGGGATGAGTAATTGCATTTACATCCGAAGATGTCTGTTCCATGTGGTATAATTTGTTTTTGTATTCCAAAAAGAAAGTTCTGTAATTCTGCATTCTGTCATGCACATGCACTCGTTAAAATAGACAGAAAGTCTGCTCTATGATTTATTTCACTTTTAAATTACGATCTACTATTTCAGATCTTTGTCTACAGCCGGTAGATTAAAAAAAAAAACCTAAAAAAAGCGAGTAGAAAATTCATACCTCGAATTATCATCATTTCTACTGTTGAGAAAATTAGTTAGATTCTAGTGACAAACGATTTAGCTCTTAAACAGATCCATCAACATCCATTAGAGGCAGTTCACCGGTTGACTTACGTTTTCATTGAAATATCTTCCGTTTTACAGTGACACGTCCTCTTACAAAATTGGTCATTTTCGAGCTCCGAGAGCCCTTGTAAGACTCATATCTTTCATGGTAATAATATACACTTAATGCGTGGCCCCGGGGGAAACAGTTAGTTTTGTTTCCCGAGGGTCCTGATGTTTCCTGTGACGAAGTTGAGGGAAACATCCAGACTCGAGGGAAAACAAAACTAACTAGTAATGATTTTAGATATATGAAATTCATACATTTGCACTGCGGTGAAGAAACGAATTTAAGAGCTCCTCGCAGCTAAGAACACTACTGAACCAGTAGTTGAAAATAGGACCTGAAAAAAATTTATTCATTCGTTTCTTCACCGCAGTGCAAATATATGAATTTCATATATCTAAAATCATTATTCATCACTTGGATGGTTTATTTGGACCCAACATATTGACCAGCTCCCAGTTGGCTTGTTAGCTCAGTTGGTATAGCGCTGCACCGGTATCGCAGAGGTCATGGGTTCAAATCCCGTACGGGCCTGAATTTTTCTCAGGTCCAATTTTCAACTACTAGTTTTGTAGTGTTCTTAGCTGCGAGGATCTCTTGAAAACTAACTAGTTTCCCGAGGGACCGTACATTAAGAGCTTTGTTATATATTTAGACTTTCCCTTAAACAGTCATATGGCAAAAACGTGCTGTTGTATTTGGCGCACGGGAAACAACTGCGCAATTGTATCCCGGTTGAGATGCATTTGAATTTGATCAGGGGCACGTGACCAAGAATCAATCAAAATGCTCGTTTTATTGAGTGCTAGTCTCGGTAGATAACAATGAGTGTTATATGTACAAGTTATTTGCTCATAAAATAGTTTAGATCTACCCTCCTTGGTTTGAAACAGAGACAAGAGACATCTCGTAAAGTTGGGGCACTCGACGCGCTCGGAAAGAAGGAGCACCTCACGATTTTTTATTTATCTGGTTTTGTTTTGAATCGCGCCACGGCCAGCGTCGAAAAAGAGGGACTACCCGTAATCTAGACCAGGTTTTCAAGAATCACGACTTTTGACAGACCTCATCCATAGCTGCACTCCTGTTTCAAGCAGTAAATCTGTAGAACAAAGCGCGAGTGAAAAAACGAGAAAGATCTGGGTCGGCTAGGCAATCCGACCCAGACCTCCATGAACGCCTGTAGTTCACAGAGGTTCCGCTGCCTCAAGTGATAATTAAAGTGACAAATCACGTACATGCGAAAGTCAATCAAACATCGTCATTCTTCTAATCCATCCTTTGACCCACGATGTTATCTTTCGAGTTAATGCACCTCCATTCCACCCTGGAACCTGATCATCAAATGTTTGAGTTAAAACTACTTCACGTATACCCTGTAAGTCATTTATTAAGGAGAAGCTTTCCACTCCTCGTCTTCATCAAGCGAATTGAAAATAGAAAATTCATTTCGTGCAATTTCTCGCATACGGAAACAACTGTTGTTGTCTTACACTGCGTGAACAAAAACAAAACGGAATTTAAAGAGCAAACAAACGTCAAATGGATATTCTTTTATCTCATCTTGATTGCAATGATAGGAAGAAGTGAAATTCAGTGAGTCTCGCAAAGCGGTCTTCTTTTAATATTTGGCATAGTCCTTCAACTGTATACTTGGAATCTCAATTTAATCACACACAACCCTTGAGTTGCTTAGGTTGAAGAAACTTTGCATTTCACTTGAGCTTTGATATGGTAATTTTTTTTTCGAGTGAACACGTCTGTGATTTAAAACGACGAACGCAAATTGTAATCCTACGATGTACGTGTTCATTCTACGTCGATATTTAAAAAAAATACTCGGCCTATTCGTGATAGCATTTTGATTTGGCATGAGGTTGTTCACTGATTGTGATAAAAACTTGTTTATTTTGGATAAGATACAAAGTTGTGGAGTGAAAATCTTCTTCGAGGTTAACCCCTAGCGGGAATACCTGCACACACGGAACCAAGTGTGACGAGGTTAAATGGAAGGGGAACAACTTGAGCGTGGGTGGTGAAAACTCGCCTCAAACGATTATGCATCGTCACAACTACAATACATTTCGAAAGAAACTTTCATTTCCACAAGTTTCTTGCTGTTGTGCTTAAAACTCGATGGTCTACCAACTGGTTTAAACATTTTATGGCCTCTTTTGAAATAACAATTGATTTTTTTATCTCTGTATTCCGTTACGTGCCTTTCCATTTTCATTTAGGGGGAGTTTTTTTCTCACGAGTGGGAGAATTTTTCGTCATAATCGCGTTTTTTAGGCGCCGGAAAATGTAACAAGCTTCTAAATTCATCCATTCGTTTAGAGGACCGTTTACATGATTTAACAGCTTATTTCAGATACTTTATTTTAGGCCTAATCGACATCTACTGATTGTACAATAAGCTCTGACGTAGCATTTTCCTTTCTGTAGGAACAATTTCACACTTTACTAGATTAGAGACTTTTATATGAAGACATTTTGTCGCTTCTGGCTTATTACTTTTATATTGTTTTTGTTTAATATAAAATGCAAAATAGGTATATTTCATGTTACAAGAAGACGTTGTAAACACAAGTTTTAATCGCAAATCGATTGAATTCGCTGCTGGGCTACCCCGGTAACCTTTCTATTCAAAGTATGGTTGAGATATTTAACATGTGGCTTGGCTTTCAAATTGATCTGGGATTAGAATTTTCAATGAAATTTAAACAAAGGGTTGGTAGCCGCTACCAAATGATTTTATTAAAAGGTTATGAGGTCAGAGCTTGCTTCCCAAGTAGCCATTTATCGCCTGAAAGATTTCTCGCGAGAAACAAAGGTTTTTGTACTCTACCGCTTCAATTCAGAGAAATAAAGTACGAGAACCGTTATTATTTTTATGATGTGTTCATAAATATTCAGGACGAAAACGCTAACACGCGAGAAGATTTGTATTATGCGTAAGTTTATATATATCTCTTAAGAAAAAAGGGATTTCTGTCACAGGAGATGACAGTACACTTCAAAGGAAAGATTTTATCGAAAGCCTCTGAAAGATAACCTCTCAGGAATAATGCGCTTTAAAGTGTTGCGTGTCGGAAAACAAAATACGTCAAGCAAATTAAAACATCGAGTGAAACCATGGACAAAAATAGAATTTACAATGACTAAAGATTGTTAGTGATGCGCGAATCACAATTTTTGCATCACGCAAGGCCATTTTCAATAGCGGGATCTTTTCCTTCAATTTACCGATTAACAGCCACAAAGTGGCGACTGCAATTTAACAATTAAATCAGTTAATCTAATTTAATCTGAGTTTTGGAGTTAATTAAAGTAGCCAAGTTTTAGCATTCGTTCCCGAATACGCTCGTGAACCATAGGTCATCGTAGGACCTTTTTAAAAACTTTTAAAAGATTAGGAATCAAAAGTTGAATTACTTTTCAGGATATCGAAGCCACGAAAACGTAGGCGGGCAGTTTGCGTGCGTTATCTGTCAAATAACAACATTAATTCCAGATTTTTCCTTTAATCTTTTCTTTCTATTTAAAAAAGATTTCATCTCTTCCCATTAAATCAGGATTTTCAAGAATGAGATTACATCAAGCAGTCTTTTATCGGTTTAAGCAAGACTTTGACGATTTGAAAGAAAAATTAAACAGAACTTTATCAAATAGCACTAAACGTCATCTTTACACCATAAAGGGCGGATAAATGACGCCAAATATTTCCTGCACGGTTATTTGAGTCACCCGCCTGTTATTGTGAAATGATAAACTTTCTAACGCACACAGTTAATTGTTAAATCGCGCGCGCGCATTCGTAAAGGCGAAACATTAGACACGCATCGAATCGTGACCCTGCACTTCAGAGGTTTGGCCGATCACAGCGACGTAAACTCGCTAAAAGCTGCTTCGATCGTCAGTTGAGTCAAATGGAACCCTTCTGTGCCACCAACTATTAAGTTCTAACAGTGAAGAAATTATAAGTTCACAGTACGTTGGTAGAAGTGTCTTACAGCTTAAAATGAATGACAGCGAGGCAGTCTCAGCTGAACCCAATGGAAGTGCTACCACTTTGTTGCCACGTGATGTTCTGGGAGAATCACAAGCCTTTAATATTACAAAGATATTCTTCTATTTCATTATCCTGTCCGCGAGCACTTTTGGTAACAGCATGCTCGCTCATATCATCATTCACACGAGAAAGATGCAAACCGCAAGCAACTTCCTGATCTTAAACTTGGCCCTCTGTGATGTAGTAACGCCTTTGATAAGCATCGTGTTTGATTTTATCCTGGAAGAAAATAATTACGAGTGGATCTATGGTGAGGCCATGTGTACAATACTTTGGCCTACACAAACTTACTTTACTTGCGCGTCTTCGTTAACCCTTGCTGCAATTTCGCTGGATCGCTACAGAATAATTCTTCATCCTTTCAAGATCAGGCTCTCGAGCAAACAGATAAGTTTGCTAATTTTTCTGGTACATATATGCTCGCTGGTCGCGGTCATCCCTTACGGTTATTTCCTCGTGCTGAGAGATGGTTCTTGTGGGGAAAACTGGCCCAAATTTTCCTACAGACAGGCTTACACACTATTTTTGTTCCTAATTCAGTACGCATTGCCGCTTGTAATAATGATATTTATGTATACAATGGCTGTCCGAGCGCTTTGTCAAACTTCGAAGAGAACACGCGACAAGTCAATACGTGCAAGAACTCCGCAATTTATTGTCAAGAAACTTAAATTTGAGGCCAAACAGCAAGAAATACAACGTGGACTATCCAAAACCCATTACACATTTATCAGACGACTTAGCAAGCTCAAGACACGGGACATTTGGAAGACTCCTAATGCCAGAGCCACAAAAATGTTCATAGTCATTGTGACTGTCTTTGCAATATTTATGTTCCCTAATCAAATTGTGTGGATGTGGGCAGATTTCGGCGGAGGGATAAATCATCCAAACTTCAGCAAACTTTCCATCATATGCTGGTTGTTTACATACACCAACAGCGTCGTAAATCCGGTCATTTTTGGTCTGTTTAGCAAAGACTTTCGCAAAGGTTTTAGGAGGATTTTTCGGAGCCTGCTGCGCTGCGAGAGATTAATCGGCAAAGAGGATCTTGTAAGATCACGACGTCAAAGTACTAGCAAAACTCGTTCAGAAACTACGGAATCACATGGAATGGATTACGGATCGTGTACAAAGGAAAGCAACTTGTCCTGTCTTATTCAAGATGAACAAAAGACACCCATGTTGGAAAGAAAAACTTATCACCAGTTTAATGAAATGTCCCCACCTTCACCTCAACCAAATTTCGCTTCGAACAGAACCGCGATAGAATCTTTCGGCAAGCAAACGTTATCGAGCCCGCCAAGGGCTTTTGAACTTGGAGATGCGGCAGCTTGTCACTTTAATGGCCCTCTAAGAGAAAATTCTGTTGAACAATGGCATACTTTGTCTACTTCAGACTCTCACATTTTGACCGATGCGCTGAACAGTTCGCCGGAAACTAACTGTTAGCGGCCCACCGCAAGATTGATGAACACTAGAAGGGGTCAGACTTGTTCATCACGAGGTTATATGTGAATTCCGATGAGATTTCCTATCGGCATTGTAGAATCGCCATTGGACGTATAATTCACGCTGTGTTGATTTCAAAAGAGTTCTTAATGGAGCAATGCAGTTTTATGCTCAAAGTTTTCTGATAACGAAGTAGCTTTGCACATCAGATTATAATCCAACACTCTATTCGACCGTCGCCTTATTGCTGTTCTGAATCGTCAAGTGTTGCCCAACTGCAATATCAGAGAGGAAAAAAGGCTCTCTACTTTACTCTTATAACTCATCTGTAGCTCATAAAGAAATCACGCAAAGCAAAAGTACGAAATCTAGGAGTACTCCCGCGAAGAAGCTTGAAAACGGTGGCTATCATTATATTGCCAAGGCAAGCATTCTTTGGTAGGAACGTTTCTTGAGTAACACCAAATGGCGTCATTTCTTCAAATTTTTTATAATAATCTTCGTGTTCTTGGTTTTAATCCAAAAATTTTGGTTTATTTTCCCTTTTAGGATTTCCACCCTCCCACGTTTTTCTTTAATACAGCTTTTCATTATTATCTCATTTGACGAGAGTTAACTTACAAATTCCGGAAAAGTGGTAGGAAGTTGGCTTGTCTTTGTAACCATAAATACACTTTCTATAATTTATTTTCAGTCTTGAGAAGCAGTCTTGCTCTCCAAAACAGCAAATCTAAGAAATTTCGAATCAAAACGCAACGCAAGGCTTTTAAAGAGCAAATCCTTGTATGCCTCAGGCAATGCAACGCGACCCGCCGTACAGCAAAATTTCTTAATCAACGACTTCTTTGTTGCACAAATGCATATCATTCCCAAAATATATCATATGTTTGTCGACGTCTTTGTTAGTCAAGTGTCTCGATGAGAAAGCGTTAGTCATGGTCCAGCATCATCATCAGGCAATACCGTCAGTATGAAATGATTGGAAATATCCAATAAAAAGGAGGCGTGGGAAGATTAGATCTTAAGATTCAATAAAATTGTGAAAGATGCGCTTGGAAAAAATTCTTCCTTTTTAGTTAGAATTGATTTGCAGTGTACTCTTCGTCGTTCAACAACAAAATCAAAATAACATGAAGGAAATGAAGAGAAACAGGCGAACATATGGAAAAAGAGAGAATGAAAAGGTATAGGAATCTTCGGCGGGGTCAAATATACAATATGAATTTCCATCAAAATCAATGCGGTTTGTTAACGATTTCAGCTCACTCTTGGTATTTCATTTGCTCCTTGGGTGTAAAAGACTTCTGTTGTTGTAAAATCATTGTGTTTGTGGTTAATTTTGATGTTTTGTCGATTTTCGTTTCCCGTAATTACAACACTGTTAAGCATGTTTGGAAGTACTCAGAGAAGTCGTCTGCCATATTTATAATCAACGAGGCGGTGTTTTAGACAGAGGGGATTATTTTGTGCTGTTTTTATGTACGGGTCGAGTGTGTTTCCTGTTTAAGAATGTCCTGCTTTTCCGTTCCGTCCTCGCACGAACAAGTTTGTCGTCGATGTGTTCTAGTTGAGATGATTAAATTTTCTACACCAACCAACGTTGTTGAATGATAGAGTCTTTTGTTCAAAGGAAATCTCTCGTTCCACTGTCATCCTCTGCTTTTCCATTATATCAAGCTATGGGTTCCTGCTATTCAATTTCCGGATCTTTTCTTTTCACATCTGCCAGAGTTCATGACCAATAAATGTGCATTCCTTAAAAGGGAAGCACTTTGACTGATACGATAATCTTGTTACAAGGGCTTTGCAGCTTTTAAAACTACTTAGTACCGTTAGAACTGAGAGCAGTTCTCTAGGCCGATAACATTGCTTTCAGCAAGGAATAAACTTCAATAACTTTGAAGCTGCTTTCAGTATAGTGTGCGAAAATGGCTAAGTTCAACGAGAACTTGTGTGGCGAATGTTATATGCGTAGCGTGCAAAAACGGTTGGACGGCGAGGCGAGGAATTTCGTATCAATTCTGTCAATTCAAGCCCAGACATTTGTAGACTATACGAAATACATTATATGGTGGAGGCTATGGATTTTTTTTATTGTTAACAGATATTGTGACGGGCTGACATGACAACTACAATTGGTGAAATAATTTCGTAGGTTTTCGTCATTCATCACGTTTGACTTTGCAGACATCAAGATCCTAAAATCCGTTCCGGAATTCAGCTGAATTTTGAGCCAAAAAAAGGAACTGGATAAATCGAGAGAGGAAATCATCATCGAGCTCTCTAGATTTTATCCTGGATATCGTAGCTAAGAATAACGAAAACAAGACAATTTTCGAAGAAAATTCTCCACTCTAAGATTCCGCGACGGAAAGATAGGGTCAAAATAATAGATTCCGAGATTGTAAAATTCAACGGAGATATTGTGATACCTTTACGTTTGGACATTTTGTCGACGCCGACATTTATAATTCCTTAGTTATGGGAAAATCCTTAATTTCTTTGCCTTGACGAATTAAGAAATCGAAAAATCATGAAGAATTGAAGGAACGAAAGCTCTCTCATACGTTTCAATCGTCTTTGCCTTCGACAAGGCTTCATCGAACAACACCGAGGAAAAAATCAACAACAGAGACATAACTAAAGCTTGAGTCAGTTATAACTCTAGTGTCTAAATAAAAAAACTCTATTCGGCTAAATGAAATCAGGGCTGAGATCTCGAAAATATTGTTCGATGAATTTCGGCCTGTGGGGTGATTTTTAGCGTGACTCGTAAATTGGATTTAAAATGGACGGTTCTAGTGTTGAGACTTTTGTTAACGAGGTTACATTTCGCCAGTGCGCCCAAAGATTTCCTGTATTTCGGGCTGGAGTCGATAAAACTTTGTCTTAATAATAATAATAACAAATAATTTGATTAATGTCTTATTCCGGGTTGTTCTGAACTGAGCCGATTATCAATATTTAATTACTGAGCTCAATTACGCTAGATTACAGCAGCTACCCCAGTATTTGAAATAACTTGGATACTATCTGACAGTTGCATGTAGAAATAAGATGTAACCTCAACTCCAACTGAAGAAAGCCACCAGTATCATGTCTCTGAATCAGATATATTCAATTGCAATTATGATCTAGATTCACGCAAATAAAGTGCATTTTAACCCTTTACACCATAACATCAGTATGCCAAAATGTCCTCCATACATCTGTTAAGATGCTGACAAGCATAATTTGTTTTACAATCATGAGCTTCTTGAGTTGGGGATCAATTCCTTTACTCTGAAGCTAGCATCTGCGTAAAATGGCTATGCTTGTTTTCCAGAATCCTATTTCAAACTACTGGAAGTAGTTTAATTTGGTCAGTAACACAATGCACAAAAGGAAACGGCTCTTAGTAGCGGAGGAGCGGAGCAGTAAAAGCGAGGTGGTTTGGTTTCTACGGGACTTGACCCAGACCTCCCTCGGTTTCGGTCTTCAACTAGCGATACGCGTTTCCTATTTCGCTCTGTTTTACTAAATGCCTGAAGCGCAATTTTACAAACGCTATTTAATGAGCGCAAGAGATGATGGATATGTATTGTCTTGCATTGAAGAGCGTTAAACAAAATATAGAATATAGACAATCGATGAAATCTTGAGTCTGCAAAGAAAGTTAATAGTGATTTCCAAATGCGTGAAATTTCACGAATATTTTTCCGGCAAAGATTTTATTGGCGTAACATTAAAAAATTATACAGAAACAAACCATAAAGAAATTGAGTTTGAAAAGAAAGCTAGCACGGATTTTCACTGCCGCGTTTTTCCATGTAACAGGAATTCATTTTATTGGATTTATGTATTGATAATAAAATACAGACAGTTTATAGACAGCTTGCGGGAACAAAGAAGATTAATGTGGCCTTAACCACAGACGCGAGCTCTTCGAACATTCTGTTATATATGTTCGTGGGGCCAAGAAATAAGAATTACGCCTCGCGCGAGAACTCCTCTATTCAAACTCTAACGAGGCAAGCTCCTTCTAAAAAACCCTATGTTTTATGTTAACGACAACGCAGAGTAAGTGGAATTGAAGCTTATTAACGTTCTTGAAATTATGCGACAGCGCAAATCATGACCAGCTCTGAGCCATGTAACAACATCTTTTCCGCAGACACATGTTGTCTAGACAAAGTTAACGCGCGTGAAATTACGCGGCTGTGAAAATCCAAGCTTGGTGGGTGAAAATAGTAGCCTGACACCTCTCCTATGTCTCGCCATGCATTGCGATGCAGTGGTCACTTAGTGATGAAATTACACTTCAAAAATAGTTGCTGCCACTTAATTTTCGATAACCTAAATATTTAATGTCCTTATTCCAAAAATCGTGCTAAACGCATATCGATGTTGATAGTTCCGGCTGCATGTTTGTTTATATAGTCCAGCCCTGAATGAGCGAGAAACATTCTTCGAGTTAATGAAATTGTATCATTCAGATACGCTTTCGATAAATATTCTGAGATAGTATTAAACCTAATCCATTTTCTAATACTGACGAGTGACAACAGATGCTCAAAGTAGACAAGAAAAATAAATATTTATGTTTATTAAAAGTGGCGCACACGACTTAAAACTTTTAAGAGCATTCTTGCAAAGCTATCTCAACTGATTATGGAATTTTTCCACGTAATGAAAACGTTTAAGTTTTCATTTGACCATTTAGACGTTGTCGCCAGCCAAGGATATTTTAAATATTTTGAATTTTTCCTTTTCTGTTTTCTCATGTTGGTTGTTTTGTATACTGACACGGCATTGTATTGTTACGCTCCTAGCAGCGCTTACGTTGAGCCCAAGAGGGGTGGGGACCCATACCATGTGTGAGGCATTTGATTTGCAAGGAAAAGTTTTGGTCCAAATTTCCACCGCCAGGCCCGAAAATGAGTAAAAACAGATCAAAAGTTGAAAATGAGATCCCTTAAGGATACAGATATGTAGTGTTTAGTATATGAGAGGCTAATATGAATTCCGAGTTTTGAGAATTTTACCGCGTGTTTTCCAAGATGGCCGCATAGAACACTTATGATTTGGAAGCATTCCTCCTTGCAAAAAGGTCTTATTTCTTTATCTTAAGGCCCAGATTCTTGATCAAATTTCTGAGAGCATTTGGGTGCAGCATACGAAAATGGGATCAATATCAGTATCTGGGCAACTGCCCACCTACCCCTCCCCTAACTCAACAACAGTCAGTAGGTAATTTAGTGTTAACAACTGGGTTGAAAACGTAAATTAGCCACCATAAAGGGTAAAAAAGCTGACGTTTCGAGCGTTAGCCCTTCGTCAGAGCGATTAGAGGAATTGTGGGTTGTGTGTGGATTTATATGTAGAAAGTGGAGCTACAGCATTGGTGGGAATATGGTTATATGGCGACAACGCTGGTATCATTACAAGCTTTAGTATTGACCTCAGCTGGGCGCAGTTTCAGTTCAAAAGAAGAACGTTTTCAAAATTTGATGCCCAAAAGTTGATTCGTTACAATGAACCATTTCTTATCATATTGTTTGTAATCTCTGTGCTGTTTTAAGTTAAATAAAGATGAATTGCATTTACATCAGCAGGTGCTTGAAATACGATTTAATGCTTTTTTAAAGCGGAGCTCGCAGAGCGTAGCCCCATAATTATACAAAATAGTAGTAACCCATCAAGTCGAAAAATTTGGATGTACGACCGTACGAACATACAAGGTGCTACTTTTAACATGCGAAAAGAAGAAATGCGAGCTCCGCTCACACCATGAACATAAATAAACCGTCGGACATGCCTAAGGGAATTCACGTCAACAATTCGTTTCGGGAAGTTCCCGAAGTACATCGTGTAACGCTGAAGGTTTCCATGCCTCCGAAATCATTCTTGCGTCATCGAAAGAGCGCGCAGTCTCTGAATTGCCATGGATTCTAGGATTTAAACAGTCTCTGCGAACAATTTCTCGTAAGGGTTCCGTGCCATCCCAAGAAAATCGAACAGGAGAGTTGTTTGATAGCATTGGCCGAGTGGGCCCTGCGGCTAAATTTAGTGAAAGTCTTACGCCTTGAATTTCGCAACATGGACTCTTTCTATTACGGTGTCTAGCAGGTTGGGAAATATTTGTTGATTCAGAACAATTCGCGGACCCTACGATTGTGGCTAAATCGCTTAGTGTATCATCCCGGCCTGCAAAATATTTCACACGAGCTGGGCTTGAGCTATCTAAAATGGCGTTCCTACTGATTTTGCGAACGTATTTCCTGGTTTCGTTGCTAATCTTTCTCAAGGGCTTCATGGTTGTGCGGCCAATCTTTGCATACCCGGACCTGAATTCTTTGTTTTTCAAGGCATAAATGAACGGGTTTAACACACTATTAGCGTAAGTAAAAATACGGCACGCTACAGAAATATAATGAAAAAATCTGTTGTTGGCGCCATTTCCGAAGTCCACCCAAATCCAAAGAACTTGATTCGGGAACATGCTGATGGCGAACACAACGACGACAAGAACAAACATCTTTGCCAAACGAATGTTCTGCTCTTTCCTTTTAAATTCAATATTTTTATCACTGATGGTCGATGATGGTCTTTTGAAGGATCTTTTGCTTTGCTTATCTGTAGAGAATAATCTTTTCGTGCTTGCTCGCAAGCTGCGATGTATGAGAGAGTACGCCACAGTCATTGTCATTAAAGGTAAGGCGTACTGGAACAGAAACAATACAACTGTATATGCTTGTCTATGGCCAAAACTTGGCCAGGCCTCATCGCAGGAGTCTTCTTTGTCGTTGAGTTCCAAAGAAATGAAATAGGGAATACACAAGCCAATTGAGAAAGCGTGTATAGTGCACACAATCATCACCATCGTTTCCATCGAGACACGTTTAGCAAACGGGTTCGCAAGAGTTCTAAGCCTATCTAAGCTGATGACTGCCAGAGTCAACGAAGAGGAAGTTGAAAACGCCGTCTGGAATGGCCACAAAACTTTGCAAATAGCTCTTCCAAATGGCCAAACGTAGTTCAATTCTTCCAGGGCTAAATCAAAGGGAATGCTCAGAGCTGGAATGACGAGGTCACACACGGCCAAGTTCAGAATCAACAGATTGGCTGGTGTCCTTTTTCCTTTGGCCCTCAAGATGACGGTTACGACCAAACTGTTGCCGATACAACTTAAAATGAAGATTAAAACGTACAGTAATACCTTAACCACTCGAAACTCTAGATATTCCAAGTTGGATAGGACACCAGTTATATTACTTGCCATGGTGCTTTCATTTACAGCCATTTTCAAATGATACACTCAACACAAAAAATGACGGTTGTGTTTGTTACGTGCCCTCCTTTAGGTTTACCGAGACAGTTACGAAAGACTGGCCGATGAAATCAGCACGTGATTGCTGTTCGCCACTAAAGGCACTGACGGAATGGCAAGAGACGGGCGATTTGAATTCGTGGTCTATTCATGGTCTCAGTGTTTGCCCACCGACGCCAGACGCCGTCATATCCGGACGATGAGATCGATAAATGCAACATACTTAAACCAGTGACCTTTACATGGTTTGTTCCTTTAGTAAACTAAAACCACGCAGTTACTATTGATGAACCAGACAGGCGCCGATACAATAATACAAAGACAAATAAATAATGAGATCTTAGCAGGAGGTATTAAAAAAACAAACAGAAAAACAGATTAGCAGAAAGTGGCTCTCCAAGAATTTGGGGGCGAAGGAAAGGCGAATAGTAGTGAAATTCCTGCTCCGTTGTTTGACAGTGAAAGAAAAATCAATATATTTACGCAGCACAAAAGACGTGACTTATCCTGCGTGGGGATACATCAAAGGCGGCTCTCATAAACTCATCAAAGTAAGAACACCATTTAAACTTTATTAAAACATCAACAAGTTTCCGCACAATTGTGACAAAAGGAAGGCGCGCTTACTAGGGTCACACGAGTGATTGATTTGTATATCGCTGACTAATCAAAGGATAGATCATTTCATCGTAATACCTGACGAAGTCATTTAAAATCATTCGGTGGACGTCAAGGGCTTCTTCATTTTGTTGAGTAAAGCTATTATGAGAGACTACCCTCAATAAAATACTGTTGGTGAACGAATGAGAAGCAAAACAGCCCACTCCACTTTTTTGCCGAAAAAAACCTAGTCATTCCCCATCTGTGGAGCATCCAGATACCCAACTAACAATGATCCACTTCAAGAATTAACTAAGCTGATTTCTAGAACATTAGTAACACGTAGTAGGGACAATCCCAAACCACATTTGGCAAAAGTGCACAATGAATGGCCTAACCACAAGACCACACTGCAGCCAAACAGGAATTCGACTCATTATTGTTTTAATCAAAGCTCTACTTAAAGGCTATTTCAGCGTTGTGGTAAGCTAACTATAGTAAACTTATGCTTCAGTGTAGGAAAGTGGGTGTGTCGAAATCATAATCAATTGAATTGTTAGTAATACCTTAATCCATGTCGTTTGTCGGAAGCTTTTAAGACTACAATGATGTTTTAAATAGCTTTGACTATTTCTAAGTAAGGGATCGGATTAACACTCGAATTAGGTTGTCAAAATTTCAGCCCCGTATCTGTGTATGCATCGGCTGGCAGAAAGTCAGCGAGTTGAGGTCACGTCTCAGACTAGTCGTGCGCCGAATCATGATTATAGCAGAACAAAATTTGAAGGAGTACGATCTTTGGAATGCACATATTACCGCCCAGCTAATTTCATACTAGACTAATCTGTCGAATTTTTACTATTGTCATTGTTATTGGATTTCCCACACCCGCTGACCCGCCTATACTTACGCGAATGCCATGAAAAAATACTACTTTGGTTCAACTACAAGAGAAACCCAAGTGTTAGATTTCAAGGACGACAGTGATAGAAATGAAAAATCTATATGGACTATAGCGCACTTTGTCAAAACCAAAGTAATCATGTCACCAGGGTACTTCAGTATTAGCAACTGAGTTGATAGCATAAATTAGCCACCGTAAAGAGTTTAAAAGCTGACATTTCGAGCGTTAGCCCCTAGTCAGAGTAATTGTGTTCGATCCCAGTCGCTCTGACGAAGGGCTAACGCTCGAAACTTCAGCTTTTAAACTCTTTACGGTGGCCAGTTTATGTTATCAACTCAGTTGATGATACTAAATTACCCTGTTATACTCTCCCACCGGCGCAGCACCACAGTTCTCTTAGAAACTAACCCTCTCATTCATTAATCATTTCATCAGCCAATCAGGGCAGACATAATATAACAATAAGCTAATGAAAATTCAAAGTAAAAACAAGCGAACTGCTCATTGCACGGGAAAAACGCGAGTGGGGAGTCACCAGTGGCTTAATCTTTTAATCTGATTGGTTGAGAGGGTAGAACGAGTTTTCTGGACTAATCCCATTGCGGAGTAAAGCAAAACCAACGCAATCCCGGATTACTTTCAAAGCAAAATTGAAAATTGCTCTAAACGGCATTAAACAATTAAGCTTGAAAATAAAGAAGATAGAAGTGACTGGTTGAGGAACCCGGTAGGTATCAAAGATGAGAATATAGGTGCTGCGGCTTAGGTAAAACGTTATCGAGTAGTATTTCTGCCGTAGTATGGCGTTCCTTTGGCTTTAAATTTATCTTTTCATGTTCATCACAGTTTCCTGATGAAACCGAAGTATCACGTAAATCCATGGTGAGGCGGAGGAACTACGAGGGAATTTGGATACGGGCACCATCCTGATATCGGTCTGTTTCACCTTTCCCTTGTCGCTTATCTCGTAAATTCCAGGCTTGTTTGTTTCTCCTCAAAGGTTGTTACACTTCCCTAACGAAAACAAATACCTTATACCTCAAAGTGCGACTCTAACTTACTAATTTACATCTTGAAACTAAAGTACTTCAGTTTAACGTCCAGTTTTGTCAATTTAGTGTTTGTTACGACAGGATATAAACCCATTGCACACGCAAATCATATATCGATAAAATGCGCCCAAAAGAAGAGTAAGTAAATGGTAATGTTTGCAGCTGAGTTATATATAGCGAAAGCGTGAACGATTTTCTGGTTCAGCTGGGATCCCAATCTCCGACCTCCAGACACAGCGACAGATTATAGAAGGCATAGCTCAGTTGAAAGATCACTGTGATCTGAGGTCACAGGCTTGAACCCTGGGGAAAATCTATTTAATTCTTATAAATGTAATTAAAATTTGACCTCAAAGATCATTTCTCATTTCATGATAATAAATCAAATATCGCATTAAGCCTGTTCCGATATTTTGAACATTTCCGAAATTACAAGGGAAACTATTTAAAAAGGGTTGTATACGACGGACAACCCGGCAGGTTTTGAAACGACACATTTTATTCGACTCTTTTAATTTTTCCCAGCTGCGTTTATCATTATTAATTTCTTGTAATCGTTTCAGCTGAGATTAGGGGCAGGATTGGAACGAGAGTTCTTTCACTATCGAGGTGAATGTAGTAATGCCTGATGGCCGGACTTTCATTCACAATTCCTTCAACATGAGCTTTCGCGAAGCTCTTTGAAAAAATTGTGCACTCCAGGTTTTGAGAGAGTCTCACGGAATAATACTTTGTGTGAAGCACATATGTTTTCCACGGAGTCGTTATTCGACACCTTGGCTCCTCTCGAATCAGTAGCAACATCTCTGCCGGCGTCGCCATTTTGAATGAATGTTAATGGATGGACTTCGGCTGTTTCTGGGACGAGGCCCTGACTCGCACTTCTGCTGACCTTTTTGAGAACAAATTTCCTTGTGTCAGTGCTTATCTTTCTCAAGGGCTTCATACCTGCACGTCCAATCCTTGCAAATCCAGACCTAAATTCTTTGCTTTTCAAAGCATAGATGAACGGATTCAACACACTGTTGGCGTAGGTGAACAGACGGCTTACTACAGAAATGTAATGAAACAATCTGTGCTTTGCGCCACGTCCAAAGTCTACCCAAAGCCAAACAAATTGATTGGGAGACATGCCTATTGCAAATACCACTACAACGATAACGAACATTTTTGCTAAGCGAATGTTCTGTTCCCTTCGTTTAAATTCGCTTTCTTCCTTGCTTGAAGTCGAGTTTTTGTTGATGATGCGACGTTCGTGTCTGTGGTTTTTGTTGCTCTCGGAAAAAAGCCTTGTCGTGTTCGAACGTAAGCTTCGATAAATAAGCAGGTACGATGCAGACATAGTTGCCAGAGGAAGAGCAAATTGAAACAGAAACAGCACAATGGTATAAGCTTGTCTGTAGCCCGGTTTTGTCCAAGTTTCAGCGCAGGACCTTGGAGAGCTGTTGTATTGCAAAGCAATAAAATAAGGGGTGCATAAAAGGATGGAGAAAACATGAATTGCCACAACAGTCTTCACAACTCGGATAGATGATGGGCGTTCGCTCAATGGCTTTGCAAGCGCTTTAAATCTGTCCAAACTAATAACTGCTAAAGTTAAAGACGATGATGTGGAAGGGGCCGTCTGAAATGGCCACAAAAGTTTGCACATCACCCTACCAAACGGCCACTCTTGGTTAAGCTCTTCCAAAGCTAAATCAAACGGAATGCTTAAAGCAGGTGTCAAGAGGTCACATAAAGCCAAATTCAGGATCAAAAGGTTTGGAGTTGTCCTCATTCCTCTGGCCCCAATGATCACAATGGCCACTAAACTGTTCCCGACACAACTAAATGTGAAGATTGCAACGTACAGTGCTATCTTAAAAACACGGAATTCCATGTATTCAAAGGTATCGTTACTTCTACCAGCAAGATTGGTATTGTTCGTTAACATTTCCAAGCGACGACTCTAATCTTCGCCTTTTTTCCACAGGAAGCACTTGTCTGGGTTTGCGAGATGTCACTTAAATCTGTAAGTCGAATCAACACCATCATAATTGGTTTTCAGGGAGTAAAACTAGCGATATAAAAATATAAGTTTACATTACCCTATATACCTAGCCCATCAATTCATGATCGAAAGTATCAATGAGCCTTTAATTCTTTCTCGTGAACGTAAAACAAAAAAAAAACCCTGCCCTTCAAAGTCATTTTAGGAAATTATAACCACATTATATCCACTGTGACAATACGTGGGGGTCCTGAAATTTAAAGACACTACGTATATAAACTGTCTGACCTAAAATAGCTACAAACTTAGCTATGACCCTATCCATGCAACATGGAATTTTTCTGTGGTGTCGCTGGGTTGAATTCATTAAGGCCGCCAAATCCATTAATTTTCTTACCCTATTAATAATTTTAACAAGAATTTGCAAGG